AGGAGTGAATCTTGAGTTCAAAGAGAAATGTTTTTTTGTCTGTTTCTTATTAAGTATACAGGAGTTCCTTTGACCCAATAAATTGTTTTGCACTTTATGTAAAATGTCTCCGGGAAGGAAAAGAATTGAAATTGTTGGTAATGCAAATTACCCGAAAGTAAAGAGGTCAGAGAAGTGGTGATTTCCAGCTAGAAACTTTGCTTTTGTATTTTGAAGATAATTAACTGTCTGGAGAACTTTCATAAATATTTCAGCAGTTATATTTCATTGAATTTATGGAAGGTGAAATGAACTGTAAGTGGCATTTGCAAATTTCGTGAAACTTGAAGGTCTCATCATTATCAAATTTATTCTCCCTCAAGCCATCTTCCATTTACTCCCAGCCAAGCTATGTCACTCTCTTCGTTTTACATTTGCCCCCTTTGTTTGGCTCTTGAGTAGCCTTCGATTTTTCAAATTCTATCCATCTTAATGTCCCAGACATAATGTCCTTTGCTCCAAGAAAGATGACTTCAGTGGTTAAGGATTCTCTCCATTTTTTTTAATCAAGAATATCATTCTCTGAATTATTAAAAAGAACAACAATTTACCAGGAATATGTGTGGGTGTGTGCACTGTCATCCTATATTGATTATCACCTTTTATCTCGTTCCTAGACTGTAGGTCTTTCAAGAACAGTGTCCATATGCATTCTTCTCTACCACCCAGGTTGGAAAGCTGCCAATTATCTCTACCTCTTTTTCACTAAAAGATTTACAAAGCAAGTAAAACTTGGGTTATCCACCTCAATGAATTCGACTTCCATGAGTCAGGATAAATTTCACCAGAGGTGAAGCAACCTACACTTTACATTCAACATGATTTTGGTATTCAACAGGAGCTTTACCTTGACCTTTCCTTGTAATTGCCTGAAGACATACTCAATGATTACATGGTTCGCTCTGAGGCATTCTACGCTGGCATTCCATAAATCATGGATCTTCAGACTAATAAAAACTAAAAAACTAAAAAGTCTGCCAGTGTTAAAAAAAAAAAAAAAAGCACAATGACTGGGTGATTCTGTCCAAAATCAGAGTGAATGGGTGGGTTTATCTGTTAATTTTATGCATTAACTTGGCTGGGCCACGGTGCCAAGATATTTCGTCCGACATTATTCTGTTTTTTTCTTTTTTTTCTGGAGTGTGCTTTGGGATGAGAGTAACTTTTAAATAAGTGTTTATATGAAATAAGTGTTTCTATGAGTTTGATATTTTTAGATTCCACCTGTATGTGAGATCCTGAAATACCTTTCTCTTTCTGTCTGATTTTATTTAGCATAATGCCCTCAAAAGTTCATCCATAATTGCTCAAATTGGAGGAACCGAGGGGACCAACAGGAAGGAGTTTATTAGGTGGCCTTATCTATCTGGAGGGGTAATGAATACCAAGGCAGTGAAGAGAGTTTACCTTTACTCCCTCATCCCACATTTACTCCCTAGATTACCTGGTCCTAAGTGCCACAAAAATATGTAGTGAGAACTGTTTTAGGAGTCAAGGTTCTTAGCAACTGATACTTTACTATCAGTTGTTTTAGGGTTTCCTCTGTCCTTCCAGCAGTCTAAGTGCATTATTACCCTCTGACACCTACCATTTCACTATCCAGAGAGCCTTTCCTCTTTTCTCGACTTGAATCCTTTCTTTAAGTCTCCTGGGACTAAGCTCAAATATTACCTCCACAGAGAAGCCTTCCCTGAACACTTTAACTAGGACTTGTGACTTACTCAGTGATTCTCCACCCCTTATTCTACTTTTTTTTCATAGTAATTATCATCATCTGAAACCCTATGACTTTATTATTCATTGTATTTTGTCTATCACCCCATCAATATTTAAACTCTATTAAATCAGTTGTAAAAGATTAAATTATGGTTCTTTTCTGTCTTGTTCATCTCTGTTCTGAGAATAGTGCCTGGCATGAATATGCTCCTGGTATTTTGTTGAATGAATACATGAAGTACTAGGGAGGCCCAGAGGAAGAAGTGTTTAGTGCTGGCCAGCTGGCTAGGAGTGACAGAAAAGCCTTCTCATGGGTGCTGAGTATTGAACTGGATCTTAAAGAATGAGGAGCGTTTTAGGTAAACAGAGATGGAAAGATGTCAGGCAGAAAGTAATGCTTGCATGGAAGCCAGAGTGATAAAAGGCACAGACTGAGATGCGCAGTGAGTAGCTCAGGGTTGTAGGAGCAGAGGGTACACATCCCAAAGTCATGGCAGCCTAAAGGCAGGTGGGGTCCAGACTGTCAAAGTTCTGTAGGTCAATTTTAGAATTTGTTTGACACAAGGACAAAAGATAAAAGACTGTGAAGGAGGGACTTGGTAAGATCAGATCTGTTTTAATTTTTTTTAATGTTTATTTATTTTTGAGAGAGAGAGAGAGCATGAGCAGATGAGGTGCAGAGAAAGAGAGAGAGAGGATCCCAAGAAGGCTCCACACCAACAGCAGTGAGTCTGATGTGGGGCTTGAACCCACAAACCATGGTGGTCATGACCGGAGCCAGAGTCAGACACTCTGACTGAGCTACCCAGGACACCCATCATATCTGTTTTAAAGCAATGATTTTCAAAGTGTGCATGTGTGTGTGTGTGTGTGTGTGTGTGTGTGTGTGTGTGTTTTCATAATAAAACTGACATTATTCCTTCCCTCCCCCCACTGGTTTGCCATTTGCACTGATGTTTGAAAAGCAATAGTGGCTAAAACTCCTGGTGTCTCAGCCCCTGTGAAGTTTAGGGCAGCCAAGTACACCAGTAGTCTTTATATTCCTCATTGCCATGTACTTGCAATTAAAAAGAAACAGCCAGTTTCACTTAGGAATGACCTTGATGAGGGAACACAAATTGCTGGTTTTATTCAATTATTATCCTGAGACCATGTCTTGAGTATTCTGTGTAATAACACGGAAAGTATACACAAAGCATTTGTGGTGTGAACTAGAGCTCGCTCAGGGAAAAACATTTTTGTTGGAATGTCAAGCTGAACTAGGTCACAAAAAATAATTTTTACTTGAAAGAATAGTTAAGAAATAATGGATGGTTATTTAGACTTGGGTATTTGACCGATATATTTCAAAAAATGAATGAAGCGTGGCTGTCACTTCAGGGAAAACAACAGAAAGTGTGTTCGATTCAGTAGCATGTACTTAAAACAGCAATAGAGAGTATTTGTTACAAATGATATTGATGTGGAAAATAAAGGAAAATGAAAAGTTAAATTTCCTTACAACTTATAGCCCATTGACAAGTCCTTGACACAGGCAGAGTGACATTGCTCTAGGAGCACAGCTGCCTCAATGATGTCACTTTGCTAAAGGCAAAAGGCACTGTTAGACCAACCTCCAGGATCCCCTACTTTAACATACAGAAATTTCTCTGGAAACTTCCTTTATCTCTACCCCCCAAATATATATTAGCAATCATCTTCCAAGCATATGGCCCATTGATTTACATCTGAAGGGTCTTATGAATGAGGTTTCACTAGACAATAAGAAATTACCTTTTCTTAACAATAGCTAGCCCCCCTCAAGGTCCTAGAAACCTTGCTTCCAAAATTCCTTGGAGACCTCCTGCTATCCCTGACCCCTTCCAAGTTGAAGGCATATAATCACCTGTCGCAACCCCAGTGCATCTCCTTCTGCCCATGGGTCCTGTACCATGTTCTAATAAGAACACCTTTTTGCACCAAAGATGTCTCAAGAATTCTTTCTTGGCCATTGGCTCCAAACTTCAACATTTCCACATCAGTATCATTTGTGTTTTCAAGGAAACTTGGAATTTTGAAAACTTGTATTTGCCTTTGATAGCTTAATGGCGAATACATACAGTCATACCTGATGAGACCAGTGGGGCTAATGAGTGCTTTATTATTGATATTTTATAATGAAATGGGTCAACATTTGGAAGACTGACATAATTCAATGAATTAATGCTTTGCTAGTAACTACTGCATCATGCTAAAAATAATAGTGCCTGAGTAAAATCCATTGAAATGCAAGATAAACCAGTGGGTTTTAATCTAAAAGATTGTCAAAAGTCAATTGATATAGTTTGATGTTCTTAACTGCATTCAATCTTTAAGATTCTACCTCTTGTTGAGTTTTGATGTAGTATCAAATGGTATTAACAATAATCTGAAAAGACTAATAAACTTCTCCTTTTTCCAACTACAAGTGTGTTGAGTCCATATTCTTTTTATGTACCATAACCCAAACAGATGTTAACAGATTGAAGGCAGATCTAGATGCGAGAATTCAGTTGTCTGAATTCTGAATGCTGAATTAGTGGTCTTCTGTTAAGCCATACATTAAAGATTTGTAAAAGTGTAAAACAATGTGTTCTTGCCAATTTCCTATTGTTTTGGAAAACATGGTTTCTATTTATGTTTGCATATGATTATTTGTTGTTGTCATTTTAGAATAAATTAGTAACTACACATTGTGTATATGTTTCAACTTGAATGTCTAATATAAGCAATCCCCACTTTACAATCTGCTATGTGGAATGAAATCCACGTCTACTGGAACCATGATTTTGGTTCTTACACAGCTTTGTGGTAACTCAGGTAAAATCTTGGACATTAATGAGTTACAGGTAGCACAGTAACATACAAAACGAGGACAACCTGTAGAGTAAATATCAATAGATATAACCCACTCTCTCTTCTCTCTTCTCTTCTCTTCTCTTCTCTTCTCTTCTCTTCTCTTCTCCGTCTCCTCTCCTCTCCTCTCCTCTCCTCTCCTCTCCTCTCCTCTCCCCTCCCCTCCCCTTTCTTTCCTCTTCTCTCCTCTCCTCTTCTCTCCTCTCCTCCTCTCTCCCCTCCCCTCCCCTCCCCTTTCTTTCCTCTTCTCTCCTCTTCTCTCCTCTCTCTCTCTCTCTCTCTCAAAATGAATACATAAAACTTGAAAGAAAACTACCCTGAAGAACAACTGAGATGAGCATACTGGTGTGTAAGGAGAGTAAACCAGAGTCATAGGACAAGACTAAGTCATCTGGGAGACCCCTTTGCTGTGTTTGGGCAAGACTCTTAACCTGGTGGTGCTTCAAACCATTTATATTATTCCCCTTATATTATTGGGAAATTCTATGAATGTAGTTAATTTCTAGAAAACCTTTTTAAAAAATGTAACTGCAGGACTTAAAAAAATGTAGGACAATGTTTAGAAGCGTACCCTAAAAGGTTAAAAGTGGGGTGTGACAGGAGGTAGAGAGTAACGTTTCTGTGGGTGTTATTTTCCCCCCAAAAAAGAAAACAGTGCCTGATTTACAATCATCAGCCTCAGTCACAGTCTGTTGCAATTGTCTGAGTCCCTGTCCCACAGGACAGCTCTCCCACGCTTCCTCTGGCCATCTGGAACAGCCCTTCTGCACCTAATGGACTCCATGATTCTTCCCATTTCTGAGCTCCCTGTTTCTTCTTCTTCTTCCTTTTTTTTTTTTTTTTATTTCTGACCTCTTGCCTTCCTTCTAATAAAATAATCACATTCTTCCTTCTCTTTTCAAATGCTTAGTCATTCCCCTGCTCTAATGTGGCTATTTGTAACCTTCTCAACCCTCTTCCTGGTAATAGCTTGAGATGTCATCTATGAAATACTTTCTCATCAGGGGCTTATGGTTTTATGTGAATTCATGGTCACCGAGTTAAACCCAGTTATAAATGATCGCATGGAAAAGTAGCAGTGTTACCATTTTTCTATGCCAATACGCAAAGCATGAAGGACTAATCCTACTTTATAATTTTAATATACTATGGAGGTTACAAGGCATGTTTATCACCTGTATCTCACGTGGAGCTTGTGGAGCTCACAACACCTCTACAGAGAAAGCAAGGCAGGCCTTCTGATGCTGATGCCATTTCCTTATTTTCACAAGTGAAAAACATTCTATGATGATTTAGGTCTTATTTTGCAGAGTCCCAAAGACTCAGGTTTTCAGAGTCCCACTTCGGAGTTCTTTTCCCTTGCTCATGACATTTCTAAGTCTTAAAATTTATTTAAAATGAGCTGGATAAATGAATAAATCATTTAGTGAGACAGGGAGTGCTTTTCTTCTCCCAGTATAAAATGCATTGTTCAAGAAAAATAAGAACTCAAGAATTTAAATCTCTGTTCTCATCACTCTGGCTAGGTGACCAGCCTTAATTGGTGGTCTTCTAATGGTTTCTAAGCACTTAACGATCCCAGAAGGTAAGTGAGATCCCATAACCTGGAACTCAAACATCTAGACATAGTTCAAAGAAAAATAATGATACATAAAATGGAGAAATTTATGCATGAGCAAAGATTAAAGGAACATGTGTATTTAATTGTCTAAGTAATACGCAAACTAGGAGTGTTATGAAAATGTGGAAAATGAGAATCTTGTATCTGAGCTCAAAGTTGGTAGAAATAATAACATGTAATTTAGGAATAGTCAAATGAGTCTAAGTTGGAGGAAAAAAGTGGAATCATCAAAGAATAGTATCCTCGGGGAAATAGTAAACATTATGTCATGCATTATTTAAAATAAGCTAACAAAGAATTGGGTTTGAATTATAAATAACACCCAAAACTGAACAAGCTTCTGTCAGTTCTCTGTTAAGTGTATTTGCCTTGCTGACATATGAAACCCTGATATTATTAGCAGCTCTGGACAAATACTCTGACAAGGCTTTTCCCTTGCTAACATATGTTCCATAGGTTATATGAACTCAAGCTTGATTGGTGAGACAAAGCATGAACTGTAAGTCACTGAATGTTACTAAGTTCCCAATCTCAGGGGCTTTTTTCTTTATCCATGTATTCGTAAACTATTACAATGGAAACCATGTCGTCATACTGGGATTTATCCTAAGATATAAACAGACAAAGAAACCTTGGATTGCAAGTAACCTGTTCTATGAGTGTTTGCAAGACCATCAAATGTTTCTCATAAATTTTAACTTGATAAATGAGCGATGTCTTGCGAGAGGAGTAGTACATGATGCTGAATGTCACGTGATCACAACCGAGCCAATGGTTCTTGAAATTCACTTTGATAAATGACTGCGGTGGATTACAAGCATGTTGCCAGAATGGATTATGCTCCCAGATCAAGGTTGTAATGTGCATATATATACATATACAATATATATATATATAAATAAATAAATAAATATATATATATATATATATATATATATATATATATATATATATATAGTATTCGTCTCCATTTCTGGCTCACAGTTCCCAAAATCTTTGGAATTTCCTAAGTGTTAGGAGTGATTAAGGTGTGTTTGGTTAGGTTAGTGAGGTGACTTTTTTTGCAAAGCACTTAAGGATGGGGGCTGGTTGCCAGTGGAGCCAACCATTTGATAGAGGGTTGGAAATTTCAGTCCTACTCTCTGACCTCCAGGGAGGGAAGAGAAACTTGAGGTTAAATGAACTGCCAATGGCCAATGTTTTATGAATTATGTCTATGTGATGAAAGCTCCATAAAGACCCAGAAGACAAATTTCAGAGAACTTCCAGGTGAACAGTTGGAGAGGTGAGGAGAGTGGTATATCCTGAGGATGGCATAGAAGCTCCCTACACCTTCCCCATGTGTGTCCTTCCCCATACCTTGTCCTATGCGTGCCATTGATTATGGCTGTTCCTCAGTTGTATCCTTTTAGAGTAAACTGGCCATCTAGTCAGAAAGTGTTTCTCTGAGTTCTATGAGTTGCTCTAGCTAATAAATCAAACCTGAGGAGGAGGTCGGAGGAACCTCTTACTGAGAGAGCTGGTTGATCTGAAGTACAGATAATAACCTGGACCTGCCAATGGCATCTGAAGTTGGGGGGCTGGGGGGCAGAAACTGTGCAGTCTTGTAATATGGAGACTTCAATCCATAAAGTATTACGCTATCTCCTGGTACACAGTGTCAGAATTGAGTTGAATGTCAGAATTCTTAGACCCCCAGCTCTTGTCCAAGAATTGTTGGTTGGTGTAGAAAAAAACCACTGCCCTCTCAACACCCATACACTGGAAAGTGGTGCTCAGAACACCAAAAGGGCATCATTTCCTAGAGTCAAATACCACCTATGCAATCACTGGGATATTCTGAAAACATCTGCTTACTCAATGAACGCTGAAAGGAAGGGAAAGAAAGAGTCAGTTTTCCTGTTCTTGCATCAAGTCCAGGTTTTTGTATTTTTCTTCTGTGTGCTATTACTTTCTCCTTTTCATTTTGACTTTCCTTTTTCTTGCTGGAACGTGACATCTGAATTCTTCTGAGTCCATTTTTTCCCAAATACTCAGCCAACCCCTATTTTAAATTACATTACCAAGTCCTCTAGTGCTTCCTATTCTGACAAACCGTGGTCTTCATGGATTATGTATTTTTGTAGTTATATGGCAAAGGGAACTAACTTTGACTGGGATGGGTGAGTGATAGAATAAGCTTGGTGTTTTTCTGTTTACCCTTGCCCAACACTTATGATTTTGTATATGCCGTATAAGTAATGTATTCACATTTTATTCCAAGTTGATTATACTTGGTTATACAATTTGATCACAAATTTGTAGAGTGTCCGTTAAGTGCCATGCACTATTTTAGGCCCCAGAGATAGAGAAATAAATCAGATGCAGTCCCTCTCTGCCACAGTAGCTCTCTTTCTTCAAGTTAGAGAGCATTTATCACATCATCTTATAGTTAATGTCTTTGAGCTTAGAGGGGGGCATGGTATGCCACGAAAAGAGGGAGGCTAGAGCAACTAATCCAACCTAGAGAACAAAGAAATCTTTCCTGAAAAGAGCTCACTAGTTCAGAAAGAGCTTCGATGTATTTAGCACTTTCTAGCTGACAAAACGTATTCTCACTCAGTCATTTTGAAAATGTTTATGGCATAGAGATTACTCGTTGCTATTGCTATGTTTTGCACTTGAGGAAGCTGATGTACAACACAGTTTATGTGTCCAGTGGAAGGTCCCATACAGGATAAGGCAATGAGATTTCAGTCTAGATGTTCTAGGTAGGACTGTGGATTTCTACTGCCCCATGTTTCAAAGCCATTCTCTCTCAGCTTCTTTAAAGTCCCTGCCATTATCATAGCAAAGGATAACACTGCATCTCAGAGTCCCTCATCTAAATAAAAACTGAAAAAATTAGTCTGCATCTTTGACTCCCATTTTCATCAAAGAGGGCTGCTGGCTGATATGTTCTTTAGCATTACCAGCAGGAACATTCTAAAGGCTGTGCCATTTCCATGCATTTTTCATTCAGTGACTTTGGAGGCACTTTAACAACAGCATCTACTTTTCTTCATATGCATCTTGACATCGACCCGAGTAAAACTAACGTCCTGTCCTGTGCTTTAGCATGTCCCCTTTGTTATTAATGTCTCTAGTGAACAGGTACCATTTTTTTTTTCATTTTCCACTTTAGGTAAACATGTACTTCTGAAGAAAGCCTGGAGGGAGATTTTCTTCTGGTACAGAATAAAGACAACCTTACAAGCTGGCCATTATTGCTCTATGCCTGACTAGAGAACTGAATTAATCATTTTCTAAGTATGGGAATGGGGGGAAAACAAAGGTGGCTGAGAGAAGTGTAGTTAGTACCTGTTTATGCAACTGTCTAAACCCTCTGATGCTTTACGACGTCCCTGTCGGAGGAACAGGGAGCCAAAAAACTAAGAGCTGTAACTGACTGGGCAAATGGAAGTCTTCGCTTTAAGCTTTGTAGACAGACACCTGTTTGTGAAATTGGGGACCAGTTTTTTAATACTCATTTTTATGCAATATGTTCATGTATGAATTCTTCCTCCTAATCCCCAGAGACCACACCCATTAGAATATTCAATTTTTCATCATGGAACCTGTCATCCTGGACTGTCACTGAACAGTTGGGTTGAGTGTCACCCACACCCTAGAAAAGTGATTAACTGGAATTTTAACACCCGTGCTAAGTGTGTGTGGCAGTGTAGGTATTTCTCAGTGGCTGAAAGAATGATGTGGCTATAGACTGTCTAACTGAAACAGATTTGGTAGAACAGTTTCAATTATGTACCCAAAGAAAGATTCTGGACCAAATGCAGCCTCATCAAATGCAGTTCAGTGAGTCTGAAAGCAGGTGTAAATGTAGTGGAACCAGGAACTGCAGACCATGTAATTTGAAAATGTTCATCATCCAATATACTTTGAAGATTATAGACAGGGGCCAGGCTTGTTAAATAAGTTACCATTAAAAAAAATTGCATTTTGTGCTAAACCCAAAGGAAGGACAAATTATCACTGTTTTGCTTCGCTTTAAAAATGAAATTAAATGCACCATGTGGCAGTGTATTATGTAATTTACATATGTTATTATGGCAAAATTTTATTATTTTGCCTGATGCAATTAGCTGAAAAGATATAAATAAAACTGATAAGAATCTCTCTAATTTCTTTTTCTCTCTTGAATTTCAAATTATTTCCCTCATTACAGAAGATGTCAATGGCTTATCTTTATTCATTCAGCAGATATTTGTGAATGTCTGATATCCATTTGCCTTCCATAGAACACACACCAACACAAACATATCATATCAGGGATGGTAAGAGTGGCCTCTGTTAATCAATGGTTGCCTTCCTCCCCTAAGAATAGCATGAGTGAATTTTTCAGTAAGTCCTAAAACAAAAAATATAATACGAAAGAAACGTAAAGCTTACCACAGTCTTCCCTTACCATGAATATCAGCTAATATCACTTTCTTCATCAGAGGAAAATCCCACAGAGATACTTTTTTTGCCTTCTAGATAGAAAGCTATTGTTTTTGTTTTATTTTCAATTTGGAAGTCAATGTAAAGATTCCGTAGGCTCCAATGAGCAGAAGTCTTTTGACTCATGAAATAGTATCAGTCCACAGAGCCAACATTTCCTAGTATTATCATGAGTTAAAGGGAGTTATAAAAACTGGGATTGAGCTTCCAGGAAATAACTTGAAGACAATGAAAGGAATATATGGACCTCTCCTCTTCTCTCCCAAAATATAGAACTGTCCTAAGCGGAAATTTCCACCGCCTAAAAACTAAAGAACACAAAACAAAACAAAACAAAACAAAACAAAAAAGGAATGAAGACTTGTCAGAGAAAAGGCTTTTTTCCCAGACCTAGGACAGAGGAGGTACAGGATGAGACTGGAACTTTATGCTGTGACAGAACTAAAGCAAGTCTCCCTTCCTCCCTTCAAGGATCTGGGACTGGCACAGGGATGAAGGCGTCAGCTTAGAGGACTGGACTGGTCAAACATATGACAGTTGGAACACCAAAATAATAAAATACAGCAAAAAAAAAAAAAAAAGAAACCATCAAAAAATAGGAATTCACACCCATAACCAAAAATAACAAGATGAATAAGCACATAAATAAAAGGAATAGAATTGAGGGTCCTGGCTTATAGGAGAATGTAAAGGCTGGCTCATAAAGGTAGATGAAAATCATTATTTTGTAACCATCAGGACAGGTTAGATCAAACAAAAATCATCAATGGATGCAAGTCCAGGGAACCTTTTGATGAGAATCAGGTATTTACATGATTTTTAAGTGTCTCCCCATGGACTGGTTATTAGTTGCAAGGGGTAGAAACAGTAATTATACAATGAAAAATTTTCGTAATACCTGGGCCATGTGATCAAAATTAATATAATTGGTTACAGATGGTCCTATGTGGTTCCAGATGTGATGCCCTGAGAAGGACACAACTTCACCTGTGCAATATCTCAGGTGAGAATGCAGACTCTTAAATTAATCATGAGGAAAGATCTGACAAACAGAAAATGAGAAACTGTTTTTTCCCAAAGGAAGGGTTATAGTCTTCAAGCTATGTCAATGTCATAGAAGAGGAAGACACGCTGTGAGAATGTTGTAGATTAAAGGAAGCTAAAGAAACATGACAATTAAATGAAATACATGATCCTAGACTTGATCCTATACTGGAAGGAAAAAAATGCTATAAAGACATTAGATTATCTCTATCTTTAGGAAATGCACAATAAAATATTGAGGGATAAAAAGGCAATGATGTATGAAACTTACCCTCAGTTATTAAATATATAACTATAAATATAAAAATATAAATATACTTATATATTTATATAAATATACAGTACATATAAATATAGTATATATAAATATATAAGTATATTTACATTTTATATTTATATATTTTATATTTATTTATATATTAAGTTTATATTTTATATATTTATATATACTATATATATACAATATTTATACATACTATATATTTATACATTTATATTTATAGATTATATATATGCATATACACACATATAAAGATAGAGCAAACAAAATTAGGTGAAATGCTAATGACAGGTGCATGTGGGTGAATGATATATGGGCATTCTGTGTACCATTTTTATTTTTACAAAGTTTAGTTATCTTGAAAATAATTTCCCAATCAAAAGTTAATTAAAAATACAGTCTCACAGTCAATACTTCTTGTTCACAAACAAAAGGCTAAACAATAACAGATTTTGATAAGTCAAATTTTCTCCTTATAGATATGAGCAGAAAACCAGGATGGCTGAGATTAGAGACAAATCAATGTGCTCAAAGTAAGAATCTAAACAAACAAATTAAACAATGATGCTTGAAAAATGCTATATATTTAAGGTAATTGAAAAGAATTTTGGGAAATTCTGATTAATATTCTGATGGGAAATTTTGAAAGGCTATTGAAATTGTTGGAAGCTGTTATATAAACAAAGTAATCAGAATAATAGAGCAATTTCTGAAAATAGCACATATGCTTATCAAAATGAATTAGTTTAATAGGAGACCTGGAAAATCGACTCCAGAAAATATTTTATATCAAAGAACAAAATCTGAAAGATGAAAAATCTAAGAGAAAAGTTAGGATATATAAACCGATACAATAAACACGATACAACAAATCTAACCTGCTTCAAATAGCTTTTCTAAAAAGAGGAAACAAAGAAAATTAAGGTGTGTGTATGAGAGAGTGGGAGGGAAATAACAGGAAAAAAATGTTCCATATCTGAAAAAATTTTTTAACCTGGAAGACATTGAGTGAATGCTTAGCACAAGGAACGATTAAAAACCACATCTAGAAGTACCACGGTCAAGTAGTAGAACACAAAGAAGAAATACTAAAAAACTTTTGAGAGAGACAGAACAAGGAATAAACAGATTTCATACAAACAACAGATAATCTTCTTTCCTCATGATATTAAATTAAGAAAAGATGCCAGAAGGCAATGGAGCAGTAACTTCAACATTTGAGAAGACCCTAACCTGGATCGCTTCACGCCCAATTCATCATAAAAGAGCATGGCCCAATTATTTTATCTTTTAATGATATATGTTTTTTTTTAAATCAACATTGAATACTCAATTTTAGCAAAAGTAAGACAGAGAATTTAAGATTTTTTAAGAGTCTTGGACAACTAGATCAGGAAGGAAAATAAATCGCAAGGGCATTTCCCAGTTTAAGTTCAAGAAAATTTCACATTCAGAAAGATATTCTATTCTACAAAAGAACAAGCCTGCTTAATCCATAAGAAAACACAGCAAATAAGTGGAAATTCCAAGTAATCAAAAAAAAAGTGTACAGTGCATTTCTGACCTAACTAAAAAAAATACACAATATTAAGATGAAGAAGGATTGTATGAACTATGAAAAATGCACAGTGGTGTAAACCAACATCACACTCAGTACACAAAACTCTTCCTTCACCCCTCCAAACATTCCCTTATTGTATTTGTTTTTAGTCAACTACTTCCCACCCTTAATAACGAGAATAAATTGGTCTATTCTCTTACCTGAAAAGTTTGCTTTTTACCATTGTGCTAACTAAAATAAGTCAAAGAGAGAAAGTATTTCACTTATATGTAAAATATTGAAAAGTAATAAGAATAAATAAGTAAACCCAGGAAAATCATAGGGCAAGAGATAAGGTTTGTGCTTACCAGAGCTGGGTGATAGAGGGAGGGGAAGTTGGAGGAAGGTGGCCAAAAGGTAGAAACATCCAGGTAGAAGACAAATGAGCAGTAAGGATATAGCGTACGACAGGATGACTATAGCTAATACTGCTATACAATGTACAGGAAATTATTAAGAGAGTAGATACTAAGAGTTCTCATCATGAGGAAAATTTTTTTCTCTTCTTTTTATTCTATTTCTATAAGATGATATATGTTAACCTCTTCTGGCAATCATTTCATGATATATGAAAATCAAACCATCACATTGTATGCCTTCAACTTAAACAGTAATGTACATCAATTGTTTCTCAATAAAAGTGGATTTTGGGGGGCCATCTCCTGAATGCTGTATAAATTCAGTCACAGAATATGTAACCTTTTGGGCCTGGCTCCTTTGCCTAACCATAATGTGAGATGTACACGTATAAATGTTCTTCACATTGTTCCATAGTATGGATATACCACATGATTTGTCTATTCATTCACCAGCTGAAGAATATTCAGGTTGGTTTGTGATATGAGTAATTTTGAACAAAGTTGCTGTAAACATTTACATAAAGATTTTTGAACTAGGCTTTCATTTCTCAAGTGATTAATGATGCTGAACATCTTCTTGTGTGCTTATTTGCCATTTGCATGACTTTGGAGAAGTGTCTGTTCAAACACTTTCTGCATTTCCTTGGGCACCTGGGTGACTCAGTCAGTTGAGTGTCCAACTTCAGCTCAGGCCATGATGACATGGTCCTTGATTTCAAGCCCTGTGTCAGGCCCTGTGCTGACAGCTCAGAGCCTGGAGCCTGCTTCAGAATCTGTGTCTCCCTCTCTCTCTGCCCCTCCTCTGATTGAGCTCTGTCTCTCTCTCACTCTCTCAAAAAATGAATATACATTAAAAAAAACAATAAAATGCTTTGCCCATTTCTATTAGGTTGTTCTCTTAAGTTTTGAGACTTCTGTATCTATATTAGTTACAAGTCCTTGATCACACATATGATATACAAATATTTTCTCCTAGTGTTTGAATAATTTTTTTCTCTTAGTTTATTCCAAAGAGCAAAACTTGTAATTTTATGAAATCTAATTTTTCATTTTTTTAGTATCTAGTAATTGTCTAATATAAAGCCAACAGATTTTTTTTCCTATTTTTCTTCTAGAAATATAGTAGTGCCTTTTACATTTAGCTCTGTGATAAATTTTAACTTAATTTCTGGATAAACTAGAAGGCATATGTGAAAGTTCCTTCAGAGAAGAGATTGAGGTTTTCTTTTAATTTTTTAAATGTTTATTTATTTTTGAGAGAGAGAGGGAGAGGGAGTGTGAGCACGGAGGGGCAGAGAGAGGGAGACACAGAATCTGAAGCAGGTTCCAGGCTCTGAGTTGTCAGCACAGAGCCCAATGCGGGGCTTGAACTCACAGACTGAGAGATCATGAC